TTCTGATGCAAGAAGAGAATGTGCCGCAGGTTCTCCGGCGCCAGGACGGCGCGCCGATGCTCCAGGGCGCTTTGGCCGGTGGCGAAGGCCTGTTCGGGCAGGAGGGCGGTGGCGGGGATGGCGAGGTACTGCCGGCTCAGCCGCGCCACGGCCGGGAAGCGATGCTCGTTGTTCTTCCACCAGTGCAGGGGGTTGGTGCTGCGCTTGCAGAGGGGCTCCACGATGTAGTTTTCCAGTTGCTGGTGGATCTCGGGCATGCTCTCCGTCGGGTCCTTCCCCAAAAGGATGTCGTAGATGCTCTGGGACGGAGCGCTGGAGCAGCGGTCCTTGTGAGCAGGCAGCTGGCTGCCGGCATCTCCGCCCCCGGCTTTGGGATCCGAGTTGGGCACCCCAAACTGGGTGCCGGACGGGGAGTGGTGGTTGCACGCCTGCGACAGCATGGTTTTCACTCGCTGGTGCAGCTCGCTCCTCAGGCTGGGGCTGAGAAACCGCATCTCCTTGAAGCGCGGGTCCAAAAACGAGGCGATAACTGCCGGGCTTTCGAGCACCTTCTCGTCCTCCGCCAACCCCCAGCGCTGCCTCAGCTCTGACCTGATGTTGCCGACGACCGTGGGCGCGGCCCGGCCCTCTCCCCCCTGCTGGCCGATGGCGGCCACGATGCCGTGGACGCAAGGCATGAGGGAAGACACGGAGGCGTTCTGCTCCTCCCGCAGGAAGGAGGTGGCGATCTTGATGGTCCTCATGACGGGGAGCAGGTCCTGCAGCAGCTTCCACTGGTGGTCGGCCAAGTTCTGGCCAGCCGCCGCGCCTTTGGGGTGTTCCTCCAGCACCGACATGATGGCCCACTTGAGGTCTAAGAGAGTCTCGCACATCTCGATGGTGGTGATCCAGCGCGACCCCACGTCCATCACCAGCTTCAGCTTGGTCTTATTGATGGCTTCCAGTTTGCTGTTCAAGGAGCAGGTGGCTTTGGCGTCCTGCTGGAAGTACCTGACGATGCCCCGGGCGATGCTGAGGGCTTCTTCTACCTGTTGGACTTCCAGCCCCGCTTTGATGCAGAGGTGAAGGGTGCGAGCGGCGCAGCACAGGCTGGTCCAACCGTACGCCGCCTTCAGCTGCGGCGCGGTGGCCGCCGCGCTCTGCGGGCTGTCGTGCATCACGCAGAAGACGGATTTGCCGGACAAGCCGAATTCGGCGAGGGAGGCGTAGAGCTTCTCCCCTAAATCGTCCTCCGCTTGCGTCTCCATGCCGCACCGCGCTCGCCGCCACTCCCCGTCGATGAAGTTGGCCGTGATGCTGAGGTAGGTCTGGCTGAGCTGGGACGCCCAGAACTCCACGCAGAGCACGATGGCCTGCGCCGTCCGCAGGTACCGCTCCAGGTGTTGCTTGACCACGTTGTACCGGTGCCACAGCATGCCGGAGAGCTGGACCGGCGTCGGGAGGGTGAAATTGGGCTCCAGGTACCCCAGGAGGAGCCCGAACCCTTTGTCCTTCACCACGGAGAGAGGGTGCAGGTCGCGGAAGATCATCTCCAGCACCAACTCCAGGATCACCTCGCTCCTGGGTTCCGAGCAGGACGCGGCGTGGTAGAAGCCGCTCTCCGGTGTCATCTGCCGGCAACGTTTGACGGCGTTTTCCGGCGCGGCGTAGTCGGATTCGGAAACCTGGTCGTCCTTGAGTTGGGAGAGCAAGGTGTCGCGGATGCCGTGCTTCCTCACCAGGTGCTCCCGCATGGTGGTGGTGCTGTTGTGGAAGGAGAGCTGCTTCTTGCAGATGTTGCACTCCACGTAGGCGTCCCCCAACTTGGTGTAATAATTCCACACTTTGGACTTGCGGCGGTCGACGTAGAGCGCCGGGCTGGTGCCATCCTGACCGCTGCCGCCGCCTCCCTTCTCTCGCTTCCTCCGCGACGCCGGCCCCAGGCCGCCCCCAGGTGGGCGCCCGCCACGCTGTAGGCGGTGAAGACCATCGGCATTTCCTCTGCGGAGACAAACGCGACACGTCGTGGCCTCAAATTTTTCATTTTTCACCTCTCTTCGGAGCTTCGCCCGAGCTGCCGAGCGCCGCCTTCGCACGCTGCTTTTTATGAGGGTGGGTTTTTTGGGTGGGGAAGCGGTGAAAACGGCGTACCTACCTTGTACCGTCGGCGGGAGGAGAGGGAGAGACGGTTCCTCCGTCGCCTCCTCCTTCGGTTGCGCCTCTCCGCCGTTGTCCTCCGGCTTGAGGCGTTTCTGCAAGAGCTGAGGGGCTCCATGGGGGTGTCCGTCGGCCATCGCCGCCCGCGTGCCGCTGCGGAGATGTGGAAACGGAGATCACCACAACGATTCCCTTCCGGCTCCCCGTTTCGGCAAAGGGGTTGCCAGAACGGACCGGGCCATGTCGTAAACCGGGTGTAAGGAGGGAAACCTCCCGCCAGGCACCGCGAGCGCCACCGCTCTGCCGTGCCCGCAGAGGAACCGCGGGTTCTGCGCCACACCTTACCTCCTCTCACCGGCGTCGGGGATGTGCCGCAGCAGTGCTGCCGGGACCGGACCTCACCCAGGAGCCCTCCGAAGCACCGCCGAGAAGGTGAAGCGGTGACGGTGAACCCGGCAGAGGTGAACCGGTGAAGATGATCTGGCGATGGTGAAGCTGGGGAAGATGAACTGGTGATGGTGAACCTGGTGACCTGATGAAGGTGAACCTGGTGAAGATGAACCTGGTGATGGTGAACCCAGCAAAGGTGAACTGGTCAAGATGACCCGGTGATGGTGAACTGGTCAAGATGAACCCAGTGAAGATGACCCAGCAAAGGTGAAGTCGGTGAAGATGAACTGGTGGTGGTGAACCCGATGCCAGTGACCTGGTGAAGATGACCTGGTGCAGGTGAACCTGGTGGCAGAGATGACCTGGTGGTGGTGAACCCACAACAGTGAACTGGTGAAGACAATCCCGGTGATGCTGACCCAGTGACAGTGAAGCGGTGAAGATGACCCAGTGAAGATGACCCGGCAATGGTGAACTGGTCAAGATAAACCCAGTGAAGGTGACCCAGCGATGGTGAACCCAGTGAAGAACTGGTGACGGTGAACTAATGAAGACGACCTGGTGAAGATGAAGCTTTTGATGGTGAACCGGTGAAGGTGAACCAGTGAGGGTGACCTGGTGACGGTGGACCCGTGAAGGCGACCCAGTGATGGTGAACCCGGTGAAGACTCTTCCAGTGATGGTGAACCTGGTGAAGAGGATTCCAGTGAAGACGATCCCGGTGACGGTGAACCCGGTGAAGAGGATTCCAGTGAAGACGATCCCGACGGATACTTTTCAGGCAACAAGCTTTTGCTGCTACCTCCAAGTCTCTGGGCACAACCACCTGATGCCACCATTTGTCACAAAGATCCCTAGGCTGCAGCCTACTTAGCTGCCATGCCCTCGTCCGGGGGCGTGGGGGCGGCCGGTGGGGCGGTTTTTGGTGGGAGACCCTCATCTCCGTCCCCCCCCCGGAGGTCACCGCACCGCTGATGTCACCTTTTGAGCCGTTTTCAGGGGATTTCACCCCAAAAATGTTTTCCGCCTCTACCCATGGGCGTTCGGCCTCTCCGGTTCCCGACCGCTGCCGGTGTTACATCCGGTACGTCCCCACCGGAGCTTGGACGGGGGAAACGAGGAGATGGTTAATGAGCGTAATGAGTGGCGGCTCGTTAAATACTCACGCCTTCGTCAGCGGAGGAGGACGTGGGAGCCGGAGCGTGACCTTTTCACCGGGAAGTAATTAATTTAGGGTTCCTCTCAAAAGTTCCTGCTGGGGATGGAGGTGCTCGCCAGCGGCGGGGGGGGGGGATT